CGGTCCCGGCGAGGCGGGGGCCCTGTCCCTTCCCGCGGTCGCCCCGCCGCGCGCTAGCCAGCCTGCGCGTGACCAGATCGCCCCTCAGCCATTGCCTGTAGCAGGGAAAGCCCAGGTCCGGCCTGGGCTCCCAGCAGAGAAGCGTGGGCAGCGGGCTGCGGGACCCGCTGCCCGGCTACCTTCGAGCTTTGGACCTGCCCAGGGTCCCCAGCCAGGAGGGATGAGGAAGGCGGTTTGGGTCCTGCGGACGGCGGCCAGGGTGGTCAGGAGGGCAGGGAACGAGACAACGAACTGTGGGGTGGCTGCAGAGGTGACAGAGCCGCGCTTTTCCTGGTGGCGTCTGGTGATCCACCAAGGGGCAGTGGCCACAAACAGTGGCTTGGAAGGTTGTGACTGGACATTAGATGGACACTCCCTTTTCACAAGGGGGAATGGACACAAGTTGCTCTTGGGGAGATTCCAACTCGACACGAGAGGGAAATTTTTCACCATGAGAACAGTCACCCATTGGAATAATCCCCCCAGGGGAGGGGTTGACTCCACCACGTTGGACACTGTCAAGATGCAGCTGTACAGGGTGCTGGGCCATCTTGTCTAGACTGGGCTCTTGCCCAGAAAGGTTGGACCAGATGATCCTTGAGGTCCCTTCCAACCTGGGATTCCATGTTCTGTGATTCATCAGAAGGGTCATGCAGCCTGCAGTAGGTGACCCAGACAGGCTGCATGACCTCCATCCTTGGAGATTTCCAAGGCTTACCCAGAAAAGCCATGACTCCCCTGATCCCATGTTGCAACAATCTTGTTTCAATTGGGCTGTTAGACTCGAGACCTCCAGCTATGCCTTCATAGCCACATTTCCACACTTCTGTGATAACTCGTGTGCCTGAAGGAGAATTAGATCTTTGTCTCAGTGAATACACATGAACAAACTTGTACAGTAAAACTGGCAAGCAGTTATGCAAAAATACAAACCCCTTGAGAGGGGCCCTGGAGTCCCTGCTGGAGGTTTGGTAGGAGAGCCCATCTCCAGCTCAGCCAGAGCCTTGCCTATGTTTTCCATGGAGCTTGACCTCAGACCTGCCTCATCACCAAGGATCTCATGGCCATCGCTGGGTTATGTCTGATGCTGGTTACCCCCACCGGACCTGACCCTGACCCATAGGTTGACTTTCCAGCTTGACCTCAGGCTTGCCTTGTCCCTGGCTCTGCCCTGATTGCCCCGCGCCAGGGTGGTGGGACAGGCATTGCCCATGCCACATTGGCAATGGTGTTCCTCCTGGCTCCTGTCCCTTAGGGAGCAGCCAGCCCTTGCTGCTCCCTGATAAGCTCCTTGACCCCATGCAGTTCGTGTGTGCTGATGGCCAGGGGGGCAGGAAGGGGCTGTCAGGGTAGCAGGGGGTGGCTGGAGTGCAGAGCCCTGGCACAGACTGGTTGAGGTTGAGATGGCTGTGGAGCTGCACCACAGTGGGCGGATGGGTGCTGGGGCACAACTGAACTCAGAGAGTTCCCGGGGAGGGATTGGGAACAGCCGTGGCTGGCAGTGCAGCTGCAGATCACACCATTAGCGGTGATGCTGCCAGGCAGGGACCGAGCATTACTGCTGTTCTGAGGGATAACTCCAAGGTCAAGCAGGACCATGCAAGACTAGATACTCATTTTCCAGCATAGGCAAGGCAAAATAAGAAACGTCCTGCAAATCCAGCAGTCTATGTGGGTTCAACTATGAACAGTGAGGCTTCCACTGCGTTTCTGTCCAGTCTGTCCTCATAGTCAAGAACCATCCTGTTTTGTTGTAAAGGACATCATGAGCCCGCCTCTACATCCAACCTATGTGTGAGAGATATTTGTGTTTGCTGTGGTTAACTTTGGCGGTAGGTATCTGAAAGGGTTTTTTTTTCTCTACCATAGAAATAACTAAGCTGACAGAGAGCTGGCATGGCAGAAGAGAAGGAGCTGTCTCCAGAAAGGCCTCCGGTTACACTGCAAGAGTGAGCATCAGCTCCAAGGATCTCCAGTGAGCTTGTCACAAGCGTCTTGTGTTTCCCAGGGGACTTGAACAGATGTGGCACTGGGTGTGACAGCTATGCCAGGGCTTGGAAATTTGGTGATGTTGAAGAATCATGGGTGTAGGAGAGGAATGATGAAGCAGGGATAAGAGGAGACTTCGTTCTTTTCCTTGCCAAGAAATTGGGATTCAAATGGAAATTTTTGTAATGTCTCAATGGTTGTCATGGTTTAACCCCAACCGGCAACTGAGCCCACCCCAGCTGCTTGACCTTCTTCCTTCTTCCCCCAGTTTCTATACTCCCTCCAAGCATGACGTCATATGGTATGGAATATCCCTTTGGCCAGTTGGGGTCAGCTGTCCTGGCTGTGCCCCCTCCCAACTTCTTGTGCACCTGGCAGAGCAAGGGAAGCTGAAAAGTCCTTGAGTGGTGTAAGCACTACTTAGCAAGAACTAAAACATCAGTGTGTTATCAATATTCTTATCCTAAATCCAAAACACAGCCCCATACCAGCTACTAGGAAGAAGAAACCAAACCCAGCACAATGGTCTAGGGTTAGGTTTGTATTTAAGAATAGATTCAGTCTTTTTGTGTTGTCTTGAGAACAAAAAGGGTATTGCTCAGAAGAACAGTACTGCCTTGTTATTCACTGATCATTTATGACCAAAAGTGATAATTAGTGATGAATTGAAAGCGGGCCTTCTAGAAATGTTATCTCTACCATATTCCACTACCAAACCTGAGCCTCTGTCAGATCATTTCTCTCACTGATTTCAGTAACGGCAAAACACAGCCCCCTCAGCCCCCAACAGAATTAGGCCTTGCTGAACCATTATTCAGAGGACATGTGAATGTGTCCACACTTGTGGAGAGGGTTAATGCTCATCTTCTCCTGTTATTTTTAACTGAGTCTTTCCTTGAGCAGGTTATGAGAGATGAAATTACTGCAGAGAAGCCACAGAGAAGTGAGAGCCATCTTTGTAGACGGCTGCCATTGTTACAGCTTCACAGAGTAGGCTTTATGGTTCATCATAATTGTGTCATTCTGTACCTTAAACAGCTGCTGGCAGCTGCAGGCAGAACAGCAGGCCATGCTCACTATAGCTAGATCCCTCCCGACATTTAATTTGATTCACATTCCCGTCTCGAGGCCCAGGAAAATTAAACCACTCTCTACAGGCACCCGTAATAGTACGACTTTCCTGTTCACAAGCACTCCAGGAAGGGACTACAAATGCTTAAAGGGAAGCCAGGGAACTTCATGTTCTGTTCTCCTCTTACCAAACCCTGCTTGATGCATGGATTAGCAACAGTCCAAACATCCCTGCAGTTTCTCAGTAGGTCCCCATGGAGCTGCACTCCCTTGCTGAGGCACCATGAACAGCACCATATGCCTGGTTTGGGACTTTTAAGGAGGCAGGACCTGACCAGAGAACACTCAGCAACATTTGCCTTTGTGGTGTAACCTCTGTCCCCAGGTCTTCAGTCCCTTCCCCTCACCTTGGAAGAAGCAGTGCTCTAGTAATGAACCTAGTAATGTGCTCCAGTAAGGAATTGCATTCATGGCTTGTTTCCAGCTCCAGGACAGGGTTTTGAATGTATTTTCTAAGGGAGGGAGGTGTCTTGGGTTAGAAAATGGCAATGTCAAAGATTAAAAAAGTAATAGTGGTGGTAAAAAGAGAGAAGAGTGTAAGAGACAGTGTCCTTCATTAGAGTAATTTATATGATAGGAAAATAAAAGCAGAGAAGCTTTTCAGGCACACCAGCTCTTCTTCTTGTGGGAAACAAAATAATCATAGAATTGAGGTTGGAAAAGAGCTTTAAGATCATCAAGCCCAACCGTTCCCTTAACCCTGCCATCCCACCACTAAACCCTGGCCCTAAGCACCTCGTCTGCCCGGCTTTTAAATACCCCCAGGGGTGGGGACTCGACCCCTTCCCTGGGCAGCCCCTTCCAGTGCTTGACAACCCTTTCGGTGAAGGAATTTTTCCCGATGTCCAACCTAAACCTGCCCTGGCACAACTTGAGGCCATTTCCCCTCATCCCATCGCCCGTTCCCTGGGAACAGAGACTGACCCCCCTGGTTCCTCCCTCCTCTCAGGCAGTTGTAGGGAGTGATAAGGGCTCCCCTCAGCCTCCTCTTCTCCAGGCTGAACACCCCCAGGGCCCCCAGATGCTCCCCAGCAGCCTTGGGCTCCAGATGCCTTACCTACACCATTCCTGATACAAGCCAGGATGCTGTTGGCCCTCTTGGCCACCGGGGCACACTGCTGGCTCATAATCAGCTGCCTGTTGACCAACACCCCCAGGTTCTTTTCCGCCAGGCAGCCTTCCAGCCACTCTTCCCCATGCCTGTAGTGTTGTGTGGGGTTGTTGTGATCCAAGTGCAGGATGTGGACCTTGGCCTTGTTGAACCTCACACAACTGGCCTGGGCCCATGGATCCAGCCTGGCCAGGTCCCTCTGCAGAGCCCTCCTCCCCTCCAGCAGATCTACACTTCCACCCAGCTCAGTGTCATCTGCAAACTGACTGAGGGTGCCCTCGATCCCCTCGTCCAGGGCATTGATAAAGAAAATTATGAATTAAAGAAAATTATTAACTACTGTCTGACTTTTCCAACTGTATCAGCTGATCTTACAAAAAGAAAATTCAGCTGTGATGAACTCTATGACTCTCTCATTTGTCTGGTCACAAGCTGTTGCGCAAACCTACCCAGCCCACCTGGTTTCTGTGCCACGGCTGGGCTGCTGTTTGCCACATCGCCGGTGCTGGGCTGCAGTCCGGAGGCTTCTGGAAAGCAGCTGGGAGAAACTGGTGGAGAGTAGGAGGGAGGCAGAGGAGCAGCTGGACAGGCACCACCAGCACCCTGCGTGTGGTGGGGCTGGGCTTCTGCCGAGGGGAAGGAGCTACTGGGCTGGCAGAGCACAGCTTCTGCTGGCACCTGGGGGGATGGCGTGGGGGTTTGACAGCCTGGCAAGCAAGCAAAGTTCAGTGACACAAGGGCAAGAGAGGGCAAAAGGCCCGACCGTCTCTTGTGAGGATGCGGGGGTAAGGAGGGGATTGCTTTACCAACTGTGGCATCTGAACCTGGCTCATTCATTGCTGCTCTAATTCAAAAGCAATCGGGCTGTAGTGTGTTTCAGAAATAAAAAGGATTTTTAGCGTTTGGTGTGCTTACTGCAAAGGAAAGACCAAGGCTGTTCACTTTAAAGTTTTACCAACTATCATGAGTGCTTGCTATAACCACCCCCCTCCGTGGATACTTTGACTGCAGAGCCTCCAGCAATTCTGCTTTCTCCCATAAGAGGGAGGCCAAGAACACTCAGTACCCTTGAGTATAATTTGAGCTACTTGAAAATTAGTTCCTCAATATTAGACAAAACGTTTTCCCTCCTTATGCCTCTCTGGAGTCTGCTACTTAGCCCATACAAGCCCAAGCTTATCTCCAGTTCAGCAGCTCTGCCTGTACAGGACAGAGGCTTTTGAATGGAAGCGCTGCAGGGATGGACCCTGGGGTATCGGGAGAGCCGGGCTGTTTCCCAGGAGCCTGTACCAGAGATGTTACTGAACCATTGCCACCGTCACCCGTCCCAGTCACCCACTCTGTAATAGCGCCCATCCTTGTGGACACTGATGACGCTGCCATTGATGACCATAGATTGGTTTTGATCGGATCAAAACTGCTTAAGAGGCTCCGGGTGGGCAGGTGAAGGGCTCAGGGGCTTTGGTGCATCCCTGGCCCCAGGACGCTGACTGCAATTCAGATAGGGACATCTGGCGAAAAATGCATGGTTACACTGTTGATATTGCCAAAAGGGCTTCAGTTTTAGCTGCCCTAACCGGTGATTCAGGTGCCATGAGCAGGGAAGGACAGAGCCCACCTTACTGAGAGGGCAGCAGCCCCATGTTCACTGATTTCCCAGCTTCAGGGGATACGTGTCTGAAGCATTCAATAGATTGACTTGTCCTCTTTATAATCCTATACTAACAACCTTCTTCCTACCTCATTAGTTTTACAGAGCTTACCCAAACTGATCTTGTTTATGCTTTGTCAGCTGCTTTCTTTAATCCTCATTTAAAGTCCTTCGCAATTCCCAGAAAAGTTCTGGAACGACTCGTTAAACAACGCGCTCACACGTGCCTGGAGTACAACAAGGGGATGGACAACTGCCACCATGAACTCATTAGGAACAAATGCTGACAAACCAGTTGGTGTCCCGGTATTCCACAATTTTTTAGGCATGAAGTGAAAAGCAGCAGATGTCATGTATCGTGACTTCAGGAAGGTTTTTAACACTGGCTGCCCTGACCCTCTCTCAAGAAGGTATGACCACATGGTGAGTGCAAAACTGGTGAGAGAATTGTACCTTGAGTGCTAATTATCAGTGGTCATCAAAATGGAGGGACGCATTGAAGGGATTTTGGCAGGGGTCTATTCTGATGCCAGATCTTTTTAATCACTTCAGTTCACAGCCTGGATGATTAACACCCATGAGTGCCTTACTAAACCTGCAGGTTGCTCCAGGCTGTGAAGGACAGCAAAGACAACAGAATTCAGCACTAGACTGAGAAATGGGAGACGTGGGCTGAAAACTGTAGGGCAAAATTCAACAGGTACAACTTTGAGCGATACCTTTATGAACAGCGAGCCACACAAATACAGGTGCGGGAACAACTAGGTGGGTGCAGTTTTTCAAAAAAGAGTCCAAGGTATAAAGGAGAGCAAACTGAACACCAGCAACAGGGAAGGCAAACACCACTGTGGAGCATATCAGCCAGGAATGTAGCCTCCAGGACAAGCTGGAGCGATGTGCCTAGCTAGGG